CTTTATACTTCTTAAATTAAACGCAATTTCCTAGGCGTTTGTAAGAAATACTTGTATACATGTATGCATGTATAGAGGTGATACTGCCAAGAATGTCCTCAGGTGTGGATGTATCTGGTTACCTAATGGGAAGCGCTTGCCATGAAAGGTATTAATGTGCAGCATACTGTATGATTGGGACGGGCTTAAAGCAATGCAGTACTGTAACTACAGTTTGCAAAAAAATCTCAGAGCTTAATATCACAAAGGAGAGAGGGTGGCGCACGCTGATCAGCAGATATGGTAGTGGTCACAATTATGAATCGCTCCAATCTATAGGACAGCAACATGCATTTTTTGACAGCTCGAGAATTAAACATTAGTCTGGAACCTCAACAAAGAAATAATAGGGGTCGTACAGATCTAATTATAAATAAAAAGGTGCTTTGACTCCTACTGTCAACAAGCCTGTTCAGCTTCTTGTCAAGATGCTACCCGTTGGGCCCTAAGGAAATTCGTGAGGCGTCTTACAGGTAAGCTTGTTCTACGGTTTCTAATTTTATAGTCCATCGAATTCCCTCCTCACTTAAGTATCACTTACCTACCTCACAATAATCTTTTTATTTTCGCAATATTATACTCTATCTGATCTTAACTACCTAGGCCTTTATTAAAGCTAAAACTTGCCCTTTATTCATATTTGTTGCTTGCCCAAAGTCTGGTTGCTTTGATTAAAAACACAACAACACCAATGTTTGAGCAAAGCTATATCTTCATCGAAAACATCATATTTTCCATGCTTAAACCTATATGGTTAGCATTAAACATTGCAAATGTATACTATCATTTCAGGTACTATATTGCTTCTTCTCCTTCTATTTATCTTGTAAATATACTTCCAATAATGTATCACTCATAATTGCATTTTATCCCATTTTGCAGCTGCGCAGAATTTTCTTCTCTTCCTGAAATAGCGTTCAATCACGTGGCGGTATAGCACTCACCCAGATATACGCTGTTCACTGGTTGACCATAACGATCAGAAGGAGACGGAACGAAATTTGGGTTGTCGCTCAACTTTGATGGTGACATCAGTAAACGGTTTACAATTTAAGATTTATAAGAACCTGTTCTGATTGCTTGTACAATGATTGAAAAATTTGAACTTTTGAAAAAGTATTAATTTATGATACTTCAGGATTGTAATTTGTAACATTACTGATCGTGCCCGTAAAAATGGCATGCATTTCTTGTAAACTTACCCGTTTATACGAAATATAAATTATTATTATTGTTACTTCATCAATGGCCTTGCTGAAGTCTATGGAGACGATGTCAGTGGGTCTTCTGTTGTCCCTTGATTTGACCCAGCTTTCTCTTGCAGTGAGGAGATTTGACAGGCACGATGGGTTTCTTCGGAAGCCGTGCTGTGCTTTGGATAACCAGCTGCTGTTTTCCAGATATGCCATGATGCCTTTCTTGATGATTCTTTCCAGTGTCTTGATTAAAGTGCTGGTGAGACTGATAGGGCTCTAATTTGAAGGGCTTTGTCTTGATCCTTCTTTGTGGATGGGGGTAATATGACGTCTTTGCAGTCACGCGGTAACACTTCATTTAGGACAGAGAGCTTGATGACCGTGGTCAAAGGGCCGACTATGTGAGCAGATAGCTCCTTGAGAAGCCTTGGATGAAGATTATCGGGACCTATTGATTTCCCTGCATCTAGTTTCATAAAAGTAGGATGTCTTGGTCGACGTTAGTGGAATCTATCCCTTGTTCCTCTGATGCAGCCAGAGCTAATCCCATAGGGAGTGATGACTCCTGTGTTAAGACGGGAGGAGTCTGTCATTGCTTATGCTTCTTTTTGATCTTCTTCGACTTTGTCATTGTCAATAGTCAGGTTTGGGACACCATTGTATGTTTTATTTCTGAAGTTCATGTACGAGAAAACTTTCTTAGGCTGTGCCTTTGCATTTTGAGCCAGATGTGCTTTGAACTTCACCATTGATTGGCGGATCTCAGCAATGCTGAAAATTCCATTCTGTATCACAAGTACTGTTTTTGGAATAAAGTAAATCATTATTATTGAAAAATAGCTTTATTCCTAGCAGTGTTACATAATTTCCTGGTCTCAGGAATCTCAAGTGTGGCAAACAGGTTCCAACATTTGCGTTAACGTCTGAGTAACTTACGAATCACATGGTTTATCCAAGGGGGACAATGTTTCCGACCCTTTGGGGCAGACCAAGGGATGAAAGGTTCAGTTACTTGGGCGTAAAGTTGTTTAAATTGGTTCCGTGAGGCTTCTACTTGGGACTCTAGGTTGATGTACCAGTTTACTGAGTCGGCTGCTGAGAAGATCGCATTTGTCAGCTTTCCAAACGTTTGTCGAGCTGGGGTTTTGGCCATTGCTGCTGTTGCTGTGAACTTGAAAGTAAGCACGGCATGATCTCTTCTTCCTAAAGGAGGAAGATATTGTATGAGATCCACATCCTGACCGTGGGAGAACACTAGGTCCAAAGTTGAGGAGGAGTGCTGTGAGTCATAGCGCGTGGGCTTAATGATATGTTGGACCAGGGCTAACGATACACTAGATTCCAGCGGTTTATGATTAAAGGTGTTGACTGAAAATGGAGTTGTAAGACTTGTCCAGTCAACTGTTGGGACGTTGAAGTCTCCGACTACGAGACTTCGACATCTCGAAGTCCAGGAACCTAGCTTCTCTATCAGGAAGTCATCTGCACTGCAGTCAGGACTGCGGTACATAGCAATGAGGTCAATGTCTTGGCCTATGCATTTAAGTCTGCAGCGTAGAAGCTCGCACGACTTACTTTCGTGAGCGAGTGCTTCGATGCTACGCACGATTAAGCATTTCTTGAGGTAGATGACTACCCCACCTCCTTTACGGTTTAGTTGGTCTGCCCTATGTACTTCGAAGTTTGGCAGGTTAACTTCTTTGTCAGTGACATCGGGTGTGAGCCATATCTCTGTGATGATAATTACATCCGGGTTTCCAAAGTTTATCATGTTAACCAGCTCAGTCCGTTTGTTCAACAGGCTGCAGGTGTTTGTGTAGCAAACTGTCAATTCAGTTTAGTGCTTCGCAGGCCTATCCACAGAAGTATCAGGATCACTGAACTGCGAACTTGGACAACCCGAAAACCCTTACTTTTAAGGTTCTTTTCGCCGTTTCGACGCTATTCGCTTAATTCTAGGGCCACACACTGTCTTTTGACACGTCTGCTAGGCTTAAGTCGGCACAAACAGATATGCCTGATCCTTTAAGAATTTGAGAGTTGCTTAGAATGACATCCCTCTCTTCTTTAGAGTTTAGTACGAATTTGAGGAGACGTATAGGCTGATTTACTGTAGGGTCAGGCTTTTGGCCGATTCTATATACACTATGTTTTGTAATGCCTGATACTGTTTGTGGCAGCAGCTTATCTAAAATGGGTTTGACCCAGTTAAGGTCATGCTCGAATCTGGCCTTAGGATCGGCGGCCAGTGACTCTTCCACTTTGTGGAGAATGAGCGCTAGTCACGTCATCGGTGTCTCAGCAGTAGTCGGTGTACTCCTGTGGTGGAAGACCCTTGCAGTCCATGAGCTGTAGAGCCCCGCTGAGAGTGGCAATGGCTTCCGTTATAAAAAATTTAGTCGTAATACAGCAGTCATTGCACAACCAGTTTGCCAGAGGTTTGCAGCAGCGTTTGTATGCAGCAGGAGTTAGATTTGTGCACGTGCTATGAAACCATCTCTTGCAGTTATCACACTGTATTCTCTCATCCACTGGGAATCGGCACATAACCCTTCCGCAGCGGTTCCTTTTGATCGGCATGCTTTTAAGAGCGAATCGGGGAAGAACAATTTAAGTATGACTTTATATATATAACCTCTATAAATCAGTGACAAAGAGCCAATGAGTGCACACACATATATGTATTTATGTATATATATAAATATTAAGTTATAAGAACACAACATCCTGTAATTTAATAGAGTCAAAACTAAAGCGTAAACTAACTTCGATCAGAATAAACTGATTTAAAGTTAATCTGTGGACTTTTGGAGCGCACAACACAACAAAAGCCAAAACTAAATAAGAGTGTGTAAAATTCACTTCTTTTTCAAAGTTCGCACGGCATAATTATGCAACCCCTTCCACCATCTATACATCCTATGAGCCTTTCTATTTGCGATATGGTTTGTTTTATCACGTGATATCTAACTGTGACCAAAATCGCAGACATTTTATTGGCATTTCATCCCATTATTATAGTATGCATTCACGCCACTGTTTCAATTCCCTCATGAGATATATTTTCTTGGAATAAAGACTATATATATACTATTGTACGGCTAGATGATAAATCCTCTGAGAAGGGTTCCTTCTCTGAATCACTTACCTAAATTTATTATGTTTCAATGGGAAATTTCCACAAAGTATGGGTATTATCCTCACACAAAATGTTTTCGTGGAATAGAAACACGGGAAGCTTGAGATATTACTGATGGCTAGTTGCTCGTGAGCCAGCTCTACTCTGATGCCTATGACTTCAATACTTCATAATCACTTTCAAAATTATGCCAGACTGAAACATTAGGAGATGCACAGCTGCTTCGGTGACTCTAAACTATAGCAGCCCAAAAAGAAACTACCTTATGCACGGATTGATGACTTCGACGAATTTATGTACAGAAATCGGTTTAACCTGACTATGAGGACTCTTAGGAGTAATTGGAAGGTTGAAATTAGAAAATATACAAGAATATTATTCTATGTAGTCATTTTCTAACATCGCATTATTTGTATATAGACGTTTATTTCAAGTTACACAATTCTGCTTCTTACGAATCTGATTGGTCGTTAGAGGTAGTTTCGTTTTTGGTTGCTGTGGTTAAGGCTCACCGTTCTTTTATTAATAAGCAACTTTATCAAACTCAAGCCTCAATAAGATTGTGATTTGCCTTCAAACTTTGCTAGGCTGTTTTAATAAGTCGTCAAGTCGATGCATCAAATTTGGCGCGTTATCTGTTTTTTGATCGATCAGCTGCATTTGAAACGAGGCAGGATGTTGACGCGGAGTCGGTTTGGGGTATATGTAAGAGTGATGTTTCTGTAATTGAAATTAGGCCAATGAAAATGCTCTGGTGGGTGTTAAGGGCAATATGGTTCAGAAGTCGAAAACCACAGGTGTGTCGACAAGATCACGTGCAGCCCTAGGCGACATCAAGAACAAAACCAGTGATATTGTTGGAAAAGATGTAAGCAAACAAAAAACTGAAAAAGCCGGACAATGTGCAGAACAGAGTAGGTTTCTTTATACTACTTATGTCTGTTTTATAAGAAGATCAGCAGGTAGATATGAGCATCGACGAACATAACCTCGCCCCAAATCAAAAGCCTTATGAAAGTCTCCAGGAATTCCGACGTCGGCGTGGAGCTATCAGGTCGGAGTGCTTGGCAGCTTCGTATGCAGAGGAGTTCCTGGAAGTCGACCAAATTGATTTTGCAGACTCGGCCACAGTGTACCCATACGGAGAAAGCATTTTCGACTACCTTCAAGATAGAGAATTATCAGTACAGCCTCTTACAGCAGGGTTTATTGCCCCCAACGCTGAAGTCACGCCGAGGATGCGTTATATATTGATAAATTGGCTTGTACAGGTACACTATAGTTACAAGCTGCAACCTGAAACACTATACCTGACCATAGCCATCATGGATCGTTATTTACTGGTAGGTTGTGTTTTGACTCTTCAGAATGCTTAGAAATCTTCTCAAACTCTGACAAGGGACGAATTTCAACTGATAGGTGTCTCAGCACTTTTCATCGCTGCCAAATTTGAAGAGATGTATCCACCTGAAATAACCGATTTTTCGTCGATTACCAATAATGCCTTTTCAAAGAGTGATATACGAAACTCAGAGCAAATGATTCTGCAGTCGATCGACTTCTATCTGTCGATTCCGACGCCCCTTGCATTTCTCCGTCGATTGTCGAAAGCATTGGATGTAAGCTTGTTTTTTTGAAATATTCCTTTGTAGGCTGATAAGACAATGCACAATTTAGCGAAGTATTTCCTTGAACTAACTATTCAAGAGTACGAACTTTCCCACCTCCCGGGTAACTATCGAGCTGCAGTTGCTTTTTGTCTATCCAGAGCACTATGCGCAGGCACATCAGACCTAGAAAAGGCTTGGTGTGACAAACTATCCTACCTCAGTGGATACAGACTAGATGACATCCGTAATAACCTACAAATACTGGCCAGGGCTGCCTACAGACAAAATTCCCCTTCAAAATATAGGGTAAGTGCATAATTACTAAGAGTTACCATATTCTCAGGCAATATTCGGCAAATACCGCAACGATGATTTTTATGGCCGCGTAGCATCATTGCCTGAACTCCGCTCAAGTCTTATGGAAGCGCTGGCTAATCTCAAGTTTGATAGCGATGGAGAAATTAATCCTGCCTAATGCTAGTATATATATAGCTAGATTCAGTGATTTGCTGTTGTTAACCTAATCGTCTAAATGTCTTGGCAATTCTTATTTCCCACAATTATTTATTTTTTAACTAACTGCTGACATTATTGATAATCTTATTCAAGTGAATGTATACTCCAGCACAATTTATTCCCTTTATATTCGATTTTAGTGTATGACTACATAATACACGATTTTTATCGCCTTCAATACCGTTTTTCCATAATTATAGTATGTTAGGTCTAATTGTGAATATCCTCAAACATGTATCATCCAGTGAGACAAGATTGCGCCAGTGCTGTTTTATACAGGGTCCAAATGTGAATCTAAGTGACATTGCAACTTGAAGCTGTTCATTGATAAAGTCCTGGAGATGCTCAATTCCCGGACATTGTATGATATCGGATTAAACGCATAGGTTTTTTGGCTATGATAACACATGGGCTGGCGTTACTTAACTACTAGCGCGATGAAGCCTAACAGCTGAGTGTTTCAGATAAGCGGTTAGATCCTACAGGAAGTAATCACATTTGAAGTTGAATTGAAAAATATGTTAGATTCTTTTCAAGAAGAATTACATTGTGTATGTACTATGCTATGCATTAACAGTGGGATTTCGATTTCTTTACCAAAAGATAGTTCAGGGCTATTCCGATGAGTTTATATAGCGCTTTGCACTTTTTAACGGGTGACAGTTGAACACTCTAGGAAGTCATTTCTGAGGCATGGGGTTGTTTGTCAGATCTAGGAATTTGATGGTAATACGTCACTGTTGTAACGCCGATAGTTCTGAGGTGTCCACCTGTATGAATAGTGCTGTTCATGACGTAGATTTATGCACGGGTGCAGTGAGTTGGTAATAAGAAATGTGGACAACACTTTTATCGTGTAAAGCGAAATATGCATAGCCTAATGCGAAAGCAGAGTTGTACGATGTCCGCTCCATTGTACGACATTTAAGACCCAGAGGCTCTATATCGGCTTAATAAATTAGCTGCTAATTAAGTAGCTTGCAGGCTTTAGTGGATTAAGTATTCGTATTGAGGACCAGTTTAAAAGCTGTTTTATAAACTCATTTAACCCCGTCTCACTTACTTTACAACTTAGAAGCAGGTTTTTGATCAATTGTCGTGTAGATGATTACCGTATACATACCACCAAGTATTTTTAATTAAGATTTGAGAACAAAACGTCTTCCTCGTCCTACTTAAAATTGCGATTTAAATTGGAATGGATGGTATGTGTGTGTATGTTTCTGGTTGATAATTTTTTCTAAAGAGACTGGTTGTTCTTATATATATATATATATATTTATTATATATATATATATATATATCCAAGCTCAGTAATGTTTCGATGCCTTACACATTGAGCTGCTCAAATCCATATTTTAAACACCAAAGCCATGTTGAGTGAAGACAGAATATTTTTAGCGTAGAGAAATTGAGCGCATAAATAAATAGTGGAATTAAAGCAGCCATATACGAGACTTAACTTACTGCTGGATCGATGTTAACCTTAGAATTTGATTGATCATTGTTTGCCTACAAAGAGTACTGATGAACGGGTGTTCACGTGTCCACTCCAGGAGCTCATGTGAGAAATGTGCATTTGTGTCCTAGTCCTAGGGGAAACGATCTTCGTTATCATGTGAATTATTTTCGAGAGGTCAACGGTTAGGAGATCTAAATAAGATAACTGATAAATATATAAGAAGTTCGTGTCAGGTGGTTGAGAAATGAAGTCTTTCCGCAGTGATGAAAGAGAGTGTATGTGAGCAGTGTGACATAGTGCAAGGTGGAGTTACTTCTTTATCGCTTGTTAGAGGTGTAATGCAGTCGTTCAGTGTAGGGAACATGCTATGTTACACTTCGCAGATTACGAAAGAATTATTCCTCTATACTAGATTGTTTACATGCACAAATTCCAATTCGAAGTGACCCATTTTTCCACTTAACACTAGTAAATGGTTTTATGTAAGCTGATATTATTCTCTCATCCTTATACAATCTTACATTGTGTATGATGGGCTGGATTCTTCAAAATGCATTATTTCACCGGTTGACAGTATTTAGCATAACTGGACATTTAGTTAGTGCCTTTTTTGTTGGGGTGTATATCAAGTATATATTTACTGAGGAACTAACTTGTAACCGCTAGCCACATACTTTTATCCTACAGCTAGTTATCTCTTTTCTGAAAGCATTCATATTCTTGTTGTTCGAAAGGGTTAACTATTTCAAATAAATTACGCTTATCATAAATCGCATTAAGTTTGGCCATACTGGTAAAAATGGCGTGTCAGTTGTATGAAAAATATTGATATAAATTAAGTGACTTGAAGTGGCTTAAAACGCCTACAGTTAATCAGCATTATTCCGACAGCTTGTAAAGTATATGAACCTTATCCGTTAATATTACACCAGGTAATTTTTGAAAAGGAATGGCAGAACAAAATACTCGCCAGGAAGTAGATGTCAAGCGGGGAGTATTTTGTTGAGATGTTAACTTTGGAATAAACCTATTTGATCGCACTACTATCTTATCAAAATCTCGGCGACTATATATAATGTGAATATTTTTGTTTACGACACGCTGATTATGTCTTACTAAGTTTACTAAGAAGACCTAAGTGGGATACTTTGTCGAATGCCTTGCTAAGATCAATAAAAACCACGTCCAACAGAAGGTTTTTATCTCTGGCCTCGACCCAATCTTCCCTAGCTAACAGTAAGTTTGTCAAGCAGGATCGTCCTGGTCGGAATCCATGCTGTTCCACTGCCAGTAAGCCATGTGTTTCAACATAAGCTAATAGCTCATCCCTTATAATAGTTTCCATTACCTTTGCTATAATGCATGTCAGACTTACCGGCCTGTAGTTAGATACCATGCCTGTCCCCCTCTTTGAAGATAGGGCTTATAATGGCATCCTTCCAGTCCCTGGGTCAGCGACATTTGGAAAATCTCCGCAAGCGGAATATATATTATATCCGCCAAAGAGTCACATCCATTAGTAATTATATATATATATATATATATATATATATATATATATGATGAGGCTTCATGAGTGTTTCCTCATAACGGGTGTTCATATAGAACTTATCGCAATGTATTCTTTACTGAAGAGCGTTTATGAAGAACTTGCAGATACATTTGATACCTGAATGAAATTCAGATAGACTGAGTTCTGTAGGCATATTCAGGAGAAGGCGTAAATGCACACAGATGTGAAAGAGAAAAAAATAGTGCAAACAAATGAGATGAAATTTAAAGGATTACGCTTATGAAGTCAAAAGGAAATAAGTGTACATCCCGAAGTGAATGCATCTGTGTCATTTTGAATGGTTTGTAGCAAAAAAAACGCCAGTATATACACATTTGTATGCGCACCTGTCATCTAAACTGATCACTGAATTGCATAGAAATTCCCGATTTATTTCTGCTTCCGGGTGCTTAGACTAAAAGCAGTTACCAGCACCATACTGTGGGCGAGGTCCTATTACAAGACGAACAGGGGTGTGGCAGCAGTGTGTTTTCCTCAGAGGATCAGTAAGTCAGTTATACTGCCTCTCCGCTCTGGAAAGAGGGGGTTAGAAAAGGTTGACCTCGAAACTTGTACATCCCGACACCTACGTTACGGTGGTAAGATATTATTATGGACAAAATCACTTCAGAAAGCAACTCCTATGGCGTGGTCAGACGGGGAGTAGTAGCCGCCCACCTGATTTCATAAGCACGCAAAGCTTTGCTGATCGACTATTCAGGATCGGAAAACTATGTTAAACAAATATAATAGGAAAGAGAGTGTAGATTTTTAATATGATTTGTATTTTGTCATGTATCCTTATTAGACTCGACTTTCACACAATGACACTGTCCTTTGTGGTGTTCCATATCGATTGACTTAATCTCCTTCCCCAGCACTCTATACCTAACCCGAATATTACTCATCATATTATACCACTTAACACGGGACATAGAACGCGAACACCTAAGGTCCATTAAAATTACTAATGGATGTGACTCTTTGGCGGATATAATATATATTCCACTTGCGGAGATTTTCCAAATGTCGCTGACCCAGGGACTGGAAGGAGGATGCCATTATAAGCCCTATCTTCAAAGAGGGGAACAGGCAATTGGTATCTAACTACAGGCCGGTAAGTCTGACATCCATTATAGCAAAGGTAATGGAAACAATTATAAGGGATGAGCTTTTAGCTTATGTTGAAACACATGGCTTACTGGCAGTGGAACAGCATGGATTCCGACCAGGACGACCCTGCTTGACAAACTTACTGTTAGCTAGGGAATATTGGGTCGAGGCCAGAGATAAAAAGCTTCTGTTGGACGTGGTTTTTATTGATCTTAGCAAGACATTCCACAGAGTATCCCATTTAGATCTCCTTAGTAAACTTAAAGGTTTCGGACTAGACCAATGCCTTTGTGAGTGGTTTAGGGATTACCTAATGGATAGAAGGCAGAAGGTTAAAGTTAACGGTGTACTATAAGGGTGGAAAGCAGTATCCAGTTGAGTGCCTCAGGGAACTGTATTAGGCCCCTTGCTATTCCTATTATACGTTAATGAGCTACCGGGGATTCTTACTTCATCTTCATTGTTATTTGCAGACGACATTAAGATATGGAAAACTGTAAATAATAACGAGGATAGGTCGGCCCTACAAACTGATCTAGATAAATTAGCTGAGTGGTCGAACCTGTGGAGTTTGGAAATGAATTCTAGGAAAAGCGCGGTAATGCACTTAGGTCAGAAGTCTTATACGTCGTATTCCCTAGGGGACACAGAACTACATGATGTTAACGAACAGAAGGACCTAGGAATCATTGTCAGCAATGGTTTGAAAACAACTGCAAATTGCAATGCAGCCGCAGCTAAGGCTTTGCGAATGCTATGGGCACTTCGAAGGGCTTTCAAGCGATCAGACGACGGCATGTTCCAAATACTCTACGCAACATATGGCAAGCCTCATCTAGAATACTGCATACAAGCGGCGGGTCCATGCTTCAAAAAGGAGGCACATATCCTGGACAGAGTACAGAGAGTAGGAACGAAATTAGTTAGTGGTATCTCACACCTTCCTTATGATAAGAGGATGGAGCATTTAAATCTCTTCCGGTTATCATACCGAAGGAAGAGAGGCGACTTAATTTTAGCATACCGTATACTTAAGGGTGATTTAGGAACTGACCTTTCTAAACTTTTCTCCCCTTCTAGGATACATTTACGGGGTCACCGCAAAAAGGTGCTCAAACCGAGGACGATTAAAATACGTGCAGAATTTAGATTCTCTCACAGAATGGTCAACGACTGGAACTCTTTACCTGATTCAGTAGTATCAACTCCATCGGTGAACGCTTTCAAAGGGAAGTTAGATCTCTGCAGAGATATATTTTGCGAGGATTAACACAGGCCACAAGAACCTTCTATCCTTATCATCTGAGTCTGACTCAGGGATCGACTTGTTTTACCAGAATACAGATTAGTTGACTTAGAGTATGCGGATGATATTATCGCCCTAGGTGAAGATGCTAACAAAATGAAGAGTCCTCTGAACACCTTGTAGAAATCTTGGTATGCCATTCGTCCCTATAAATGTAAGATGATGCAGCAGGACTGGTTTACACAGAACCTTAAAGTTATAGAGTAAGACGGTCGAATCTGTTGACCAGTTCACTTATTTGGGAAGTTGCATATGACCTAATAGACTGGTGGCTGACGAGGTCTCCTCAGCAACGATACAAAACGCTCATATGGAATTCGCCAACTTACACCATATCTAACGTAGATGTGAATTCCACTTGTCAATCAAATGATGTGAAAGTGGAAGACCTGAGAAAACTGCCTTCGACTACAGATGTTTGCTTCCTATCTCCCGTGTTAAGTGGTACGGTACACTGAGTAGTACAGAAGTCACGCTTAAGAAAGGAAGTCAGTCAGTGGGTTTGTGAATCTGCATTGAACGAGATAGCTAGGACACGTTTTCTGTACGCCAAGCCCCCAACCTTCCTCGTGTCCAACAATGTTAACTGACATAGTAACTAGGTTGGGGAAGAAGAGTTGAAGGCTGGTTAAACCAAAACCTGGTATTAATTCATGAAGTTCTTGACTGTTATGGTTTGAGCCATCCACGTAGTGAGGTAGTGGTAGAGCACGTTGACCGCTTCACTTATTTGGGAAGTTGCATCAACCCCAACGGGTTGATCTCTGACGAAATCTCAGCACGAATACAGAGGGCTAGTTTCGAATATGCCAGTTTACGCCGTCCCTGACGTAGACGTGATATCCGACTATCGACCAAAGGGCTTGTGTACTGCTCATCAGTCTGCTACGTCCTCCTTTATGGCTGTGAAACCTGGCTACTGAGAGTGCAAGACCTTAAAAGACTAGCTGTCTTCGATCATAGGTGTCTGCGTTCTATCTATCGCGTGAAGTGGTATAATAAGGTGAGCAATATTGAGGTTAGGCTTCGGTCGTGTGGTAGGTAAGGAGGGGAAATCAGTCGACGAGACTGTGAAATTACATCGACTGAGATGGTTAGGAAATGTGTTACGTGTGCCTTGTCATCACCCTCCTCGACGGGTAATGTTAGCTGACATAGGGTCAGGCTGGAAAAGAGCTAGCACTTGGTGGTCAAACCAAAACATGGCACCATTCAATGAAATCTACAACAGTTAGTCTAAGCCACGTAGGAAGATGTAGACTTCCTGACTGGTTGGGGTCCTCGAGATGGTAAAAACCAATGGTTGGAAACAATTGGTGACATGGCTCAAAATCGTTCTCACTGGCTGTCGCAGATGCATCCACTCCTTGTGACTTATGATTTCCAATGAAACTGTTTTGTTCTTCGTTATTACTATTCCTTTGTCTCACACCTCTGTTTACTGTCTATATTATGCATTTCTCCTACTTTCTTTTCTTGCTTTGTGTGCTGAGTGAAGTGTGGCGACTTGAACTGCCGCACATCTGGTGCAAAGTTCTATGTCGAAAACAGACAGACAGACAACGTAGTGAGGGTTGTGTAGACTGCCTGGTTGGGCTCCCCAAGACTCTAAGAACCAAGGGCTAGAGACTGTTATGGTGATATGGGGTTCAAAATCGTTCTCAATGGTGTGCAAATGCACTTCCACGTCTATCATGTTTTCCCATTATGTTCCTATTCATTTCCCCTTAAATTTCAGCCTTTAATAGTTATGATCAGTTTCATTCTCCTTTTCTTTCCCTCTGCTTTTGTCTGTATTTGGGGGATTGAACCGATCAACTTTTTTAGCAAAGTTCTATGTTGAAGATTAGTTAGGTGTACGCCAAAGAAATGCATTGGCTACTGATTTATTGAATACATTTAGAAAGTGAGGAGAGGAAAAAAAACGCCAAAAATACAGCCTTATATGTTTTGTTTGTTTTATTTTAGATGTACAAAACTATTTACATTTTGCCTCTAAAAATGTTAGGAAAAAATAGATAGCTGAAGGAGAAAAATAAAAAGAATTTTTTATGAGAAGGCATACAAGAAAACGCCCACTTCATAGTGTTAATTCATGCACAGAAGCCAGATATATTATATATATCTAAGCGTAACATAATTTTTTACATTATATATATGCACATATATATGTTTTGACAGGGTATTATCAAAATTTCGGACCACGTTTACGTCCAGTATATTTAGAGTCATGTGCCACTTCTTTCATTTGATCTTTAGCACGTTGTTTCTTTTGTTTAATCCAAGCAACACTATGCTTTGGTGGTTTTTTCATCTGTCGAGATTGTCGTAAATTCTCTAGTTTATCACGTGAGACATTTACTGTAGCATTGTCATTCAACGGTTGAGGGATACGTCGAGAACTGGAAACATCTAATACTAAAAAGTATCTAAATTAAGAAAAAGTCAAAAGTATTTTAATAATAATAATATATGCAGGGGTGATAATTAAAATAGGGCATTCACATTAATGATATTGTTCAATAAGAAATTAATCTAAATTAAAACAAGTGAAAATACTAACAACAATGAAAACAAATAAAGGCCGTCTACTTAGAACTCCGCAGTAAGTTGATAATGTCCTGCCCCACACTTTTCTCATTACATAAAAGAGTAGGCGTGACATCCGGCTATCAACCAAGGGACGTGTGTACTACTGCTCAGCAGTTCGCTCCGTCCTTCTCCTCTATGGCTCTGAAACATGGCCAATACGAGTTGAAGACATGAAAAGGTTGTTTGTTTTTTATCACAGATATCTACGATCTCTTTCTCACGTTAGGTGGTATAATAAGGTAAGTAATGTTGATGTTAGGCGTAGAGTGTTGGACAAAGAGGGAAAATCAATCGAGGAGGCTATAAAGTTACATAGATTGAGATGGCTAGGTCACGTGCTGCGCATGCCTAACCATCGCCTCCCCCAACGGACGGGCATTACTAGCTGATGATATAGGTGCAAGTTGGAAAAGAGTAAGTGGTGGCCAAACAAAAACATCGCATCAATCAATCCATGAAATCCTTGACAGTTGAACTGAGTCAGGTAGGGAGATGCAGACTTCCGGGTTGGGGCCCGCCCTCGAGACTCTAAGAATCAATGGCTGGGGACACTAGGTGACATGGCTCAAAATCGTTGTCAATGGCCTACGCAGATGTATTCAGTCTCTGTAATCTTTCATATTCCTTTCTACCATTACTCATTCTGTTTCACTCTTATACTTGTCAAAACTCTATTGATTCTCTTCCCTCATCTTCTTGTCTACCTTTGTGTGCTATTTGGAACGTGGCAACTGGAACTGCTGCACTTCGGTGCCAAGTTCTATGTTGAATCCAGACAGACAGAAACACGAATATTACAAAGTAAATGTACAGTAATAAATTCTCATGAGTCATGTTCATATTAAGTGCTATTGCATGCAGCAGGTCGTGTGTGAGGACAAATACTCGCCGAAGACATTGGCTAGCGGTTGCGATGTCGTGAATTGGCACAAGTTAGAATTCATGGACTGGCCATTGGATCGGGTCACACTGGTTTAATGATCTACGAGCTCGCTAGCGTTTTAACCAGAAGGTCCTGCGTTCGAACTCCTGGCGGTGGATGCGTACTGGCTGAAGAGGCCCAAACTAGTGGGACGAAACAGCTGTCCAGTACTCCAGTGCTGGTTTTTTAATGCTTTCCTGACCAATGTCAGCTCATGATGAAATCCTGTAACCAATCAATCAAATCCCTACAAACCAACACATTGATTATAATAAACTTCAGAAGGATGAGTGGTCATGTCAAGGATGCGGTAGAGAAAAAGGGTTTTTCCCGGGTTGAAATTTATGTGTGTCAGTGTGTGAGTTAACAACTGTGTTCAGACAAGGAAACAAAAGGTTAGTTAGTGAATGAAAGTGTAGTGACAAGGGATAGGGAATTTATACGTTCTAGGCATTAATGAAAACAAAACACGTGGTTCAGCGAAGAGTCTTTTTTCGGCGTCGAATTCATTTTCTTAGCTGTATAATCGCAACTATATATATGTTATTTTGTATGCATGTGTACATTAAGTTTGTCCAGCAAAAATACAGTTGGTTATGGTTATTTTAATTAAACAGGTGAGAATTAGTTAGTTTCGGGTAGAGTTACGTAACACAAAAAAGGTTAAGAAAATTGGGTATTAGTGTAACTAGGGTAGTAACAAAGGTGACGAGTTGTCACAAACAGTTATTAAAAAGAAGTTATGTAATAATATGAATAGTTTGATGATTGAGTTGTACTCAGTATGCACATAGAAACAAAGTAGAGAATACGAAATTACGCAAGAGTTCTAAATGAATACAAGAATTATAAGCAATTAAAGAACAGGCAAACAAACAAAATTAAGTCATCAAAAATCGACAAAGTTGTTACCATGAGATAATAGAAGTAGTTGAGTAATTGCTTATAATTCTTGTATTCATTTAGAACTCTTACGTAATTTCGTATTCTCTACTTTGTTCCTATGTGCATACTGCGTACAACTCACTCATCAAACTATTCATATTATCACATAACTTCTTTTAACAACTGTTTGTGACAACTCATCACCTTTGTTACTACCCTAATTTCATTAAAACACCTAATTTTCTTAACCTTTTTTATATTACGTAGCTCTAACCAAAACTTTCTAATTTTCACCTGTTTAGTTAAAATAGCCATAACCAACTGTATTTTTGCTGGACAAACTTAATGTACACATGCATACAAAATAACACATATATATTTGCGATTGTACAGCTAAGAAAATGAATTCGACGCCGAAAAGAGACTCTTCGCTGAACTACGTGTTTTGTTTTCATTAAATTAAAGAAATATGCAAACTAACAAAATTTCGTTATCGAAAAATCAACAAAGTTGTTACCGTGAGAGTAGAAGTGGTTGAGTAATTCTCTTTTGAAAGCACAGCTCCGGTTTTTCTATGTGAATGGTGAAAGCTTCAGCGATACAAAGAAAATGAAACCGTATTGCCTTTGGTAGGTTATTCTTGACTCCGTAGATTACTTTGAAGGAGGTGTTTGTTGAGATGGAATGATCAGTGTTAACCAGGTATTCAATTATCGCACTCCTTATAGCACCACTTCTTGCCTTTTCACAACCATGCTGGATAGTATTCTTGAATCCTCTTGGAGAGGATGCGTGTTGAATGACGTGCGCCTGGCTCCAAAGCAGCAGGTGAACTGATATATGCACATACTAGTGGTCAGAATCGGGATTTTGCCCCACAAGGCTTCTGCAGATCAGCGGGTGATTGGAGAACACTATTCTTAGCGTTGCTGCAAAGAATTTTCTTTTCATAGATGATGTAATCCTTCTCTTGCGAATATCGCCTGCTAAATCTCCCTTGATATTCAACCTCATGTAGAGTTTTTTATTCAGCGCAAGAGAATTTTTATTTCTCCAAATTCTTGGTTTGATATTTTTATCAATGAATCTTGGTGGGTATCCATTTTTGATCTAATTCTATTTCTAGAACATCGGGACTACAGATGCATCGGATGCGCGTGGCAAGGGATTTAATTAAATTCCGCTTTTGTTGAATGAGTACCCAGCTATAGAAGCTTGTTAGTTGACCATTCCAAGTACCTTTTCTATGGATCGATCTTCTTGAGGTCCCATCAGTTCTTCTTGTTAGTTCCACATCAAGAAAGGGAATTTTGATTGGTTTTCTATTTCAAGAGTGAATTTTATTGCTGGATGGAAACAGTTAAATGTCTGTAGCAGTGGATTGGGGTCATTACTCTTGTCATATATAGTGAAGATTTCATCTACGGATCGTTTATACAATCATAAATTGTTGATGTCTCACTTCAATGGACTATTTTCGAGGCTTGCCAAGAAGCAATCTGAAAGTAGTGGGCCCAACAGAGATCCCATTGCAACACTATATTTATTATGTCTATAGATGGGGTCATCGAAAGCTAACCGTACGTTCAGAGTGCATCTCAATAGTAATTCCTTCAAATATGCTGTTGGTATTCCAATGTTGAGATGGTCCTCATCTATATATTCACTTATAAAGCATACCCTTTCCGTGAGTGATACACGGGTGAAAAGTGAGTAAGTGTCGAAGAAAAGCATCATTTTGATGCAAACACTCAGCTCTTCTATACAGCCGATGAACTGGAAAGTGTCACGCAGCCAATGCGTGCAGAATTGTTTCCTTATAGGTCCCAGAATATATGCCAGCCATTTTGCAATAAAGTGGTAAGGGGAACCTAACATATCCAGAATTGGACAAAGTGGGAGACCAACCTTGTGTACATTTGGTAGACCATAGAGTCTTGGTATTATTGAACCTGTTGGTCGGTCCAGTAAATAATAATACTGTTTCACTGTGTGATATATTTAATAAACAAATTATTATGGAATTACATACTACCATAGCATCCAAGTTTTACACATATATGAAGCTGCATCAGTTGATATGGCTAGAACACCAGTTATTCACTTCAGGTCATTGCCTTCCTCGACGAGGAATATTAGCTGATATAAGATTAGATTGGAGTAGAGTGTAGTTAAAGGTGGTCAAACCAAAACCTGGCATCATTCCACGAAGTCCTTGACTGTTGGTTGCAATTACGTAGAGAGTGGGTGGGTATAGACTAGCCTGGTCGGGGGTCATCGAGACGTCAAAAATCAATAATAGCTAGAGACTATTGGTGATATGTCTCAAAATCATTGTCAGTGCAGCAGATATATTTACTCTTTATTGCATTCCTAGATCCATCCTAGATTCGCGGTATACTTGTTTCTCCTCTTCTATATTTTCCTTCATTACAGTTCGTTTAGAAACAACCTCTTTTACCTACCTGGGAAGCATCGTTTCAACTACAGGCAGACGGAACTGACGAGGATATCAAAGCGAGAATCGGAAGAGCAAGACAAGCTTTCACTACTCTCAAGTCTGTGTGGAGGTCAACAGCACTCAGCATCAAAAATAAGATCCCGATTTTCAACTCCAATATGAAGTCACTGCTACTCACTATACGGATCAGAGACTTGTACTGCACGTCATAAAGAGCACCTCAAACGAACTACAGACCTTCATTAACAGCTGTCTTCGCTCAATACTCAAGATCAGATGGCAGGCCAGAAAAGATCAGCAACAGGGATCTCTGGGAGCGAACCAACCCAGCAGGAACCGATTGTGCAACAAATAGGCAGGAAGAAATGGAGATGGATTGGCCATACTCTGAGAAAACAATCCATCAAGTGACATCACTAGACAAGCCATTGCTCGAGTGGAACTCGAAAGGGAAGCGGCGAGTTGGTCGTCAGTGCGAGGGTGACTTGGAGGAGGTCATGTGAAGAGGAGATGAAAACGTGTGGGCAGACTTGGAGCCAGGTGAAGACTCTAGCAGAGAACCGGACGCAATGGAGACGCACGGCTGAAGCCCTATGTTCCTCTAGGAATTAAAGGAAACAATAATAATAATAGTTCGTTTAGATTTCTCTTCCTCTATTTTTGTGTGTGCCTAATGGATTGTGGCAAAGTAGAGCAGTACAATATTGTGCAAAGTTCTACATCGAATTCTCAGTTAGGTGGAGATATGTAGATAATACATTGGGAATAGTAAACGAGAATGACATGGGAACATCAGTTTCACACACACACACACACAGTCAGTCATATGTACATCGAGATAAAGTTCACTATGAAAGTAGAGAATAAATTTGGCCAACTACCTAGGGTTAGACTGAAGAAGAATGCAAAGACATATGGATAGATTCCGTTATGCAGAAGATTTACTTTACTCAAGTCTCACAGTGTTATACAGTAATATTCACTGATGACTATGTTTCGAGTAGAATTTATCACTGCTCATAATCCCAATATCAAGTTACTCACACAACTTTCAACCTTCATTTATATAATTCCATTGTTTCTTATCTCTTGATCTGATTGGCTGGTGTTAGTGATGAGTCATTGTATCCTATTGCATGTGCGCTGGGTGTAGAGATTAATACATGTAAGGTCAACACAGAAAAACAACTCATTTCGGAAGATTTCTTGATTATCACTTGCGGAAAATATAGAGGGACTTGTAAGTGGGACACACAGACTGAATAACAACATCCAAATGGTCAACAGAGATAGATAAACAATTTATTTAACATGCCACTGAAAAATCCTTTATTCAAAAGAGGTCATAAGAGACAGTGTATAGGGAAAAAACAAAATAAATGGAAACCAAAGCTGAGGGCGATAAGTAAGATGATTTTTGTCATACTAAGAAGCAATGTCAAAAGCAATTCAAAGAAACGTCTTGCATTATGGTGTTTACAAGGTCTCTTGTGATGACTGTCCAGTTAACTGAGTATGTCAAACGATTGAATGGACATAAACATTTAACTAAAGGTCAATCCATTTGGATATAAGATAGTAAAAGCTAATTGGAGGGGAGGGGGAAGAGCAACATCTATATTTGAAAATCCAATATGAGCAAAGTGAAAGGAAGACAACTAAACAGAATCTATATTTATAAGTTCTACCACCCCTGCCCCTGAAGTATATGCGACAAAGGTGACTTATCACAACTGTCAACAACAGAAATGAATACAAAACGTGACTGAATGCAAAATTTAAAAAAATCCTGTTGGGTGTGAATAACAGTTAAAAATGTAATCCCAATATCCACGTGTTGGTTTGAAAGGAATTTGACTGGTTACACGATCTCATCATTAGCTGATATCAGTTAGAGAACCATTAGAAAACCACTGAGTACTGGACAGCTGTTTCGTCCTAGTTTTGGACTCTTCATCAGTACGCGCCCACCACAGGGGGTCGAACTCAGGACATTCTAGTTACAAGGCGAGCTCGTAAACCAGCTATTCAGCCAATATAGCGCGACTGCCACTAGCCAATGTCATCACTGGCGATTATTTATCCTCACACTCGACCTGCTGTACCCCACTGGTCACAACTTCCCACTAGAACCCAGGTAACTAGAGCCATTTGCTATCGAGCATCAGATTAATATTCAAGTATTGGTTTGCAGGGATTTGAATCACTTTACCACAAAAACAAAAAGTTTTCACAAACTTCATAGTACATACTTGTTACTGTAAGTCAACACTGAGATATTTGTTTAGGCAGTGATAATATAAAAGTCTTAAGATGCTTAAATGAAATTCTCAGGGTTGAAAATAAAATCTTAGTGTACGTACAGATTTGCACACATGTGTAGAACACAATGATTATTGCAAAAATATTCATTCAGACTTCTATAAAACACAAAATAATCGAGCAAAGAATATCCTTTTCGAGAATTTTCTCTTCCGGCTCTACAATTATGTATACAACTTTATATACATAGAATATTCTGGATTAGTAGTCAATGTCAATATTAGTGTGTTTTCTAAATAATATCGATTTGTTAAGTCACAGGAATGGAATTACAGTTCATTAAAGATGCTTAAATTATAATAATAATAATAAAGATATAGTAGCAAATAGAATATCAACTAGAATTAGGGAAATTTTACAAAAATTCTGGATTATTCAAACCTGGATGGCCAAGGTAAGGATAATGCCTGAACTAACTTCTTTTGGATGCATAAATTAGGCTTATTAATATGGATCCCCACAGCCTCAACAATATTTAGAAGTTGAAATCTTAAAGCAAAATTGAGATTCGTAAGTATGCGGTAAATTACCCTGAAAGCATGATTAACGTCAATCTTGTGTTCTGTCTCCACAAGATGAGCCAGAATAGCGCTGCGAATAGATTTTGTTTGTCTTTCACTTAACCACCATGCAGGGTGATGTTGGGAAATTCAACGAGAAACACGCCTAATTGTACGACCTATGTAACTGGCTCCACAGGAGCAGTTAAATTGGTATATACACATGGAAGAGGCGAAATTAGGCAGTTTGTCTTTTATTCCCGAATGCAGAAGAGGAGTGGTTTTAAAGATACAGCGTAATTGAGCAGCAGGGAATGCTCTTTTTACCGCATTTCTAAGGCGCTGTGTTAGTATCTCACTGGTGTTGTATTCCCAATTAGATAAGAATTCCACAGTATTTCTTTAAAACTGCACAGATTTTTGTGGCTCGTAAAGAAAACTTACTAATGGGTGGAAGTAACTGAATTCCTGTAATTCAAATACCTTAAGCAAAGGATTTAAATATATTCCCTCTCTACAAAACAACTAAGAAATAAAAAACGAATTCAGAGATATAAGAAAACCTTAGCTATGACACGTGCTAATAATATTATTTTCATTCCTTGGGAGAATCAGAGGGGAATCGTATCACTGATGCTTTACTGTAAAATAGGATCTTTTGAGATCTAAAGGTATGATGCATGGTACATTTCTTCTAGGATTTTTAAATCTAATTTGAAGGTTGTTGACTTGCTTGCTTTATAACTTAAAAACTGGTACAGATGATTTTTTTCCTTCGTAATTGATGATGGCTAGCAATGGAGTCCATGACGTGATCTTCGTCCAACCAAAAAGTACCATTAATTGACAATCCTTATAGTCGTGAAATTTAAAATGTTTATGGAAACTAAAGTATGCAATTATCAATATGTTTAGTCAACGTTGATGGCATATATTGCAGGTTCAAATGTTGTATTTACAGTTAGGGATTTTATTTATAATTTTTTCCTTCACGTTCCCTAGTGGAACATAGGGCTTCAAGCTAGTCTAGAAGTTTCTGTAGCAGTGTTTATTTTACAGGATGGGGTTGCTAGTTTCATGCCCAACCTTTGCTCTTCACCAACTTTATTTCTGGTTTAATGAGGTAAAGGAGTGCGTCAGTGGTCGGGGGATCGAACCCCGGACCATGTGCATGGTCGGCGAGCATCCTAACCGCTATGCCACCGACGCACAGTTAGGAATAACAGGACGTATTTATATAACACCAGAAATTCATAACTCCTTTACATGAACATGTATTGTTCAGTAACGCATTATAAAGTCAAATAGTCACTTTTATTTGTGTCGGAAACACTCTCATCTTTGAAAACGCTTTAAGTGTATTGATGATTTAGTTGAAACCTACTGTATTTTTGTTCCACACAATTGGATAGCACCTATATACTTCAGAATATATCAGTCTGTGGCTCAATGGATAGCATTTAACTTAGTTACTTAGTAGTGGACAAGGCTTTTATGATAAAAAGTATTAATTGGAATTATAAGACAGGCGGAGCTTAACTAATTCTGCACTATACTTAGCATGGCCGGACTGATAGCTCCTACCTTGACGTGGTGGTCACACATGCACATCGTAATGACTCAACCAGTTACACCTGCTGGAATGAATGTTCCTGAAGAGCTTACCATGCTCTCATAGAGTAAATCACTCACACTGCATTATAAGTCTGAGTATAAAGTCATACTGTCGGAAAATATAGGGATGTAACAGAAGTAAGTTGTTTCCCTCGGACGATCAGCAAGCCAGGTGTGTTGCTGCTCCACTATGGGAAGGTGGTTATAAAACGTTGACTCTGAAGACTGTGCATCACGACTTAGCTAGCGGCAGTTCGTAGCCGGTGGTAAAATCTTCATATATGGATACAACTCCACAAACCATTTCAAACGGACCGTGTGAGACCGGATGCAATCAATTGTCCCCTGGACTATGGAGTTACACAACAATAATGCACCAACTTCAAGATCTGCTGACTGTCTTTATAATCAGAAACAAAATATAGGATCGAGGCATAATGATAGACAGGAATAACATGGCTAGGTAAGCGAATGAATGCCAACAAAATGCTTGGAAACTCTCACAACTACTCAGAACAACTAAGTCATCGTAATTTTAAACTACAGTACCCAGATATAATCCACGGCAATCACATGGGAATGAACATAGGACTGTTTACAGGATGGAACCTGTCGTTTGTGCTCAAACATCGAAACTTAGAAAGTACAATGGCGTTGAGAAATAAAATCGTTTTAAACATGTAGAATTGTTTAAATATTAGGTTATTAATACTGAAATCGTCAGTAATGGGAAAAAGTGGGTCAACTAAGTTACTACTTAAAGTTTTAGATAAATAAAAATATAATACTAAGGCTAAAAGGTTAATGAGATATCCAAAATAACTGTACTTACTTTTTTGCTCGTGTACTGTTCGGAAAGTCAATGATGAGACCACCGGAAAATCCAGCTCGCATAGCTTCATTCTGCAGCAAATCTGCTTGAACAACAGATTCTGGATAGAACTGTAACACAGCTCTTGCACTGCGAGTCAGACAACTGTATAACGAGGAGAAAAACCGTCTGAGGCGTACAACAGGATTTTGTGACGACTTATCAGCGTTGCACAACCACTGTATAGCCGAAACACTTATAGCTCCATCAAATGACCCACCGCGGAACGGTAATCCACAACCAAGATCACCAAGTAACAAACTACCCTCCACTTCTCTGTCTAATGCCACGTCTAGCATGTCTTTGCTTATATCAACGCCAACCCAGTTGTGACCACTTTCAGTTATAACCTCTCCACTCAAACCAGAGCCACATCTGAACTTGTTAATAAAAGATACTATAATTTATTTACCCAATGTCCAGAATCATACACGTCTCATCTTCGGGTAGAGCAAGCAATTCCAAAGCTCTTTCTGTTATGCGTGTTTGGATATCAATTATATGAGAACTGAAAAGTAATAATAATAATAAAGGGAGAACTCACTTAGAACTGTATTTTCGGGCTTCATCACTATTATAATACTAGAAAAAACGGAGAGTCTTATAGTGACTTACCAATTCAGGAGGAAGAGAGTGCTCCGGTCGCTTATGGGACATAATAAATCAACCTGTTAGAGAAATGAACAGCAAAAATTAAATCTGTATGGTAGACTGTGGAAATTCAGAACTCTCATAACTAACCCTCACTGTATAGAGAAAAAACACGTCAACACTAGGATTTTTTTTGGTGATACACAGGTGTGCATATTCAACAATTTTCCTTTTCGAATTATAGAATTGACTTCCCTGGTTTCAGTCGGTCATGTTATAACTTCGTAAAATAAACAAAAACAGTACTTAGATATATACATTGCCCAGTGAAGTTAAACTTTAAGCATTATGAAATTCTAGTGCGTCGGTGGTACAGCGGTTAGGACGCTCGCCGACTATGCACATGGTCCAGGGTTCGATCCCCGGCCACCGACTCACTCCTTTACCTCGCCAAGCCAGAAATAATGCTGGTGAAGAGGAAAGGTTGGGCATATGGCTAGCAACCCCATCCTGTAAAAATAAACACTGATACAGAAACTTCAAGCCATTAGCTTGAAGCCCTATGTTCCACTGGGAACGTGAAGGAAAAAAATGGATTGAGACCACACAAATGACCTAGATGAGTTCAGTGAGCAATTTAGTGGAACCAGGAAAATAAAAATAAAATCATGGATAAGTTTAGTGAAGGTTTTTGATGTTAAACAGGATATGTGGCAAGTTTTCGTTAGATTTTGGAAAGAATAATTTAAAGCTTAGGTCTAAGAAAAGGTTGAATTGGTAAAGGTCATATTAGGGTTGGTTCGAGTTATATTAGGGTTAGCTTGGAGTTTTTGTTTAGAATGTGGTGTAATCACTATATAGGCATTACAATCCAAAGCTGTGAAGTCTTTTTGGCAAACGTTAGAGAAAGGTATCCTTTGTGACGGTTTCATGGGTTTTCTTTATTATTCTCATAATTGTATGTATTCTATACATATAATTGTCAAAATAGTAAAATATTACTTAAATATAGATTAAGAATGGGAAGTAGCATTTAAATAATGGTAAATGAAGTTTACATTTTAAATCGTAGGAAACTTCCGGTTGAGTATTAGCATAATATCGGTTGAATTTTAGTCAAAACAGAAAAACAATTATGTCACCTAACCAAGATTCGTCCATTTTTTGCCTACTAGCGGCATTGCTGATCATTTACTTATGGTGTATTTTTGTTCAACTGGGATATATGGCAGTGTGTTGTTAAAGATGTCATGTGGTAATTTGTTAGTAGCCGAAAAAACATATGATTGACAGAAAAATCTTGCAAGGTAAGCATAAAATTAAGAGCACTAACAAGCACAGTGAGGACTTACGGCTAGTAGAACCTCACAAAACGCTGCTGACACGCAACCAGTTGAATTTTTGGAACTGTGATACAATATTCAATTTAGATTTCACTATTTCCAGATTTCATAATTTTGGTTGGTGACGGAAGTCTTTAAGTATGTGCAAATGATATTTTAATAATTATCTGAGCTTGTTTAATCGATTCTTGACGGAGTAGATTGAGGATGTAAATATCAGTTCTTTTCGGAATTAATAACTCGGTGAAACAATTAGTTACCCACAGCGATATAGTTCATACTTGGATTTTCAACCCTCGTACGATGTGCCCTAACACTCTCCAGCCTGGTAGAAAGATAAAAAGAAGATAGATAAGTTTTATAATCTATCCTGGCAGGCTAGCGAGGCTTTTGCCGAAGATCAGGAATCTGTATCTCACAATCAAGAGTCGAGCACAAAGAAATCAAATTATTTTATACTATCTCGTAAAAATGACATTGGATATAGGATAGTCATTTCTCAGAAATCTAAGTATTGTTATTATATCTCACTGTTAACAGTATGGTAAAGCGAAAACTGTGAAGTCGTTCCTTGTATGCTAAAATAGCCATAACAGGAATTACAAAAAAATAATTCCCTCCTCAGTCTCTGTGGAAGAACGAAGTTCTCTTTAGACAATGCAGTTTTCAAGTTTTCAGTTCACCTGAGTGTTTGCAAAGAGGTGAATGATATAGTGGTGAACATGGTAAGGGCCTTGAGTATTACACATTAGAATTTAAAGCTGATAGCCGCCACTGCACTTCAGTATACCGTAATTTTTTGGCCATAACTAGCTATTACATCAACATCTGCTGGCATGTGAACTGAAATGAGTGTTATGCACTGATACTTGACAGTCCCGTGTGCAAGGTGATGATCTTCCCTAAGTTCATGGTAAGTGTTTCTTCTCCAAACGACCAGATTACGTTTTTAAGACCTGTTTGAAGCATAAGTGTGTCGCTGCTATTTTTGAACTCTCTAGAAATCATTAGGTTATCTCCAGAGAGAACAATGGGAGACTTGGTGATTCCATGTAATTCTTTGATATGCATGGTAAATAAGAGGCTGCCGAGTACGGTAATTTGTGGCACTTAATGTTCTTCTGTAGCGGAATTTCAAGTTGATCTTGACTTTCTGTTATCTGCCTACAAGGATCTTCCTGGTTAATTTGAGCAGATCACATCTTGCATCAGGCACTTTGTTGAAACCTCAGCTGAAATCTGTAGGAACAACGCTGATGGGTATTCTTGTTGTCCTTGGACTTGATCTGGCCTACTCTTGCTTCGGGTTTGTCAAACACAAAGTGTTTCGTCGAAACCATGATGTAAATTGCATAAAAAGATATTTGTTTCTAAATACTCCCCAACGGCTTCCTTGATTGCTCGTCGAAGTATGTTGATTGAGGTGCTGATGATACTAATGGGTCTGCTGTTTGGAAATTGGTGCCTGGATCCGCCATTACGGGTGAGGGCTACTACCACATTTACTCTGGTCATGAGGTGATAATTTGTATGAGATGGGTGACCTGAAAATAGTAGTGGCTGAATGAGCTGTGTGAGCTGTCAACTTCTTGAAAGAAACTGAGTGAAGATAAACGGTCCGTTCTGATTCTTCTGTGTCTGGTTTGCCTAGGGATTGGTATTCAATTTTTAGGTCAGTGTCAACACCACCTCTTTTCTTGCATTGCGTCAGACGCAACACTGGTGGTGAATACTGGATGGTGGTTCCAGAGAACTGTTTCCCCTCTGCCTCAGCTATTTTCATCACTTTAGCGCTGTTAACTTAATTCCGGTTCAGAAGCATGTCCCTTCACACGGTGTTCTGCACATAAGTCTGCGCATATGTGGATACCCGATCCCTTGTGGGTGCAAGCATTCCTCAAGAATGTTTGTTGCCACTTTCAAGGTTTTCTGTTAATTCCAGAATGCTCGCAGACTGGCTTGCTATGTATCCAGCCTTCTGTCTACTACTGTCATAGGGAATGGCTTCTCTAGAAGTGGTTTGATTGAACCAAGTTACTGTTCAAACACCATCTGAATCTTATTATTATTATCCGATCTGGAAACCTGATTTTTCTAGCCGGTGAATTAAGTTCAACCATTTTATCCATATTTAATCTCTGTGTGGCGAGTCCATACGTCTCGAACTACTGCCAAAGCTTGAGGGCCCGCATCTGCAGCAGCATCTCTCTCACTTGTCCAGATAAACAAGACCTGTTGGTCCGCCATGTGATTGCCGCGAAGCCGATTAACCTAAAATAACTAAGTAATGTCGGAAACTTTTAATTTTTCTGATCATATACTTTATCAATCTATTTGTTCTTGACCTTTATGGCAGATACCATTGCTGTATCTCACTCATGTATTTACACAAGTTATAGTAATTGTCAATATGCCGGTGGAAACTAGCCTTATTTTGTTTCGACCAGAGTTTCAGCCAGAGGAGAAGGAAATAACCCAAAGATATTCACTTCATCTCGCGTATCAGTTCTTGAGACCTGTGTACGTATCCCCTGCTGTGGTAGTATGCCTATGTTGCCGCAGGCCATCACTGAGACTGCTCAGGCAAAACCAAGTGTACACGATAATACCCGTATATCCATTGGAAGCCAGTGTATCAGACAGCAAAAAATGAAAGGCTCAAGACATCGTAAGACCTCGAAAGCGTCATCTAGAAAGTGAGACGAATGTCAGGCCTGTAGTGTTATCGTTTCTTAAACTGATTCAGCTTTTGAATGCAATTTTTGCAAACGATGTGTGCACTGCCTTTGTGACAGAGGGGTGCCGAAACCATATTATTGGTTTATGCAAAAAAACTCGTGCCTATGGTTCTGGCACAACTGCCCACTTTGTCGCCCTGGCACAGTCCCAGTCTGTGGGTGGAAGTAACAGCATGCCATTTTTGTGTCTCAACACAGCCTCATGCAGCCACCTGACAACACCACACGTCCAAACCTAGTAAAAAAGTAAGAAGGAGACTCCAGCCCAACCGACTGAAAATACCAATCTTCAAAAAGTGGAGACTTCCAAGGTTACAGCTACAAAATCAGGGGAAGATGGAATTGCCAAAGCACCAATTGCATGCACTAGCAAGCATGGCAACATAGCAAAGGCTAGTCAGAACCTGATTAAATCTTAAGTGAATGACCATAAAAAGGAGGATAAGCAGCCAAAGAACAAACCTAAGTCTGATGTCAGTCGATCAAACCCTCTCATCCTGTTTAATGTACCCGTGCGCAATGGTAGTTTGCTTGAACCATGGGCCCTGTTCGATCAGGAACAGTGGTCCAATATGTGCAGTAAATTAGGTCTGAACGTAAATCCAGGAAAGTTTTGCAGACTGTACAGTGGTGTTCAGGCACCTCAAGGTAAGCCACCTCTAATAAGGGTGACAGTGAGCCTCGTCGAAAAGGTTGGAAGAATATTTTTACTGGCTCAACTATAAGCTATCGACAGGAGTTCCAGTATAAGAGTGAGACATGACAGGCCATAGGCTAAGAGGCGAATGATTAGGGAGTCACCGGAATCGTAACCCTCTGCCTCTATCGGCATACAAGATATTCCAGAGCTGAAAAGTGCCACTGCTAGCCGAAAACACATGCACGACTTACGGCAATGGAGATGGCTGTTATCTCAGATGGTCAATGATGCTTCTGGAGCAACCTAGATTTTCCGGCTACCTCGTCCAGCTCGTCTCACATTGATTGGCTCCCCGAGGCTGCCAAGTCTAAAATTTAACTCACGGGAACATTTGGCTCTAGTACTTCAACGGTGGTATGAGACCAAGTATAAATTGGGAGGACACATCCGGTGATGCGAACACAGACCCCGAACCATAAGGAGGTGGCAAACTTAGGCCTTAATACCTCCCGAAGCCTCAGTGACACTAGAGCGATGCGGTACTGAGAATGACAGTCAGTGTCACCCAAGTGTGCTACCTGAATCTAAGAGAAAAATAACAACAGACTGGTTCCACTGAAATCGGGTAGTTAGTCCCAATATTAAATCCTCCATTAGCAGCCAACACATTATCTACTACCCCACGACGCACTGAGTTGGTGAGACTCACTGTCAGCTGCATTTGTAGCATTGTTAGAAGGCTGAGAGGGAAAGTAGGTGAAATCAGACAACTGAAGTCACGCCTACACCTGAAAATAATAATCCTAACTGAAACCTGGCTAACCCCCACTACTGCCGACAGTGAAATCAATTTAAGTTATTCAGTGCTAATCAGGCGGAATAGGGGTAACACATAAGGAGGGGCTTGCCATATCCTTTAACAAGCCACTTAAGCGCGTACGTGCAGCGAAGCCACCACTTACTGAATTTTCAGACCCTACATGGTGTCGTTTCGCCGTAGGTTATACCAAGGATTTACTGGATCGCATCTATCGATCACCCACCTTTGGGGCAGAGCACAACCAGCTGCTGCTTGGCGCCATCATGGGGATACGGGGCCTGGTTTATAGCCAAATCACTTTAGCTGGATATTTCAATGCCCCGTCCCTGAACATTGGCTCGGGATATGCTCAGGGAAATTCAGACTGAAATCTGCTACAACCCAGTAGAAATTCAGGACTGCCCAAGGGCGATAGAGAAGATACTATGTGAGGCCCTAGTGGAAAGTTATCGAAACCAGATTATATTCTAAGTGGTCACCAGCTGCTTGTCGAAAATGTCTAAATCATGACCCCCCAGGGAGTAGTGACCATGCAGTCATAGGATTCGATCTTGTTCTCCGTGGGCAATTAAAGTGTGACCTGTGGGAACATGTCTGTGCTATAATAAGGTGGACTATGCTGCAATGCGAAGGCCTTTATCTGAGGCAGAATGGCCAGTAGAATAGGCTGAGTTATCCATGGAGAAATACTGTGGAATGGTAAAAAAATAATAATGATTTACTTCATTCCAAAAACAGTATTTGTGATACAGAATGGAATTTTCAGCATTAATCACAACATTGCATCTAATTTCCTCAAATTATAAATAAAACAAATCACAGAAAATTTTCCTACATTTACAATAGGGTTAATATAAAAAAC